CGCATATATTTGCAGTTATTATTTATTTTTAAAAAGTTAATTAAAGGATAGACTTTCTCTTCATCCTTAGAGATTTATAAATATATTAACTCTTTATGAATGATTCATTTTTAATCATATATTGGTATATAAAATTAATTTTAAACTAGAAATCATTTGAATTTGATTATGGAAATTCGTTATGGATCTAAAATTATGATAGGATATTACAATTCACGTGATTTTCTTTTTTTAGAATTTTGTCTTAATATATCAGAAATTCAATTAATATTTACTGTTATAGCTTTAGCTTTCATAGAACCTGTTATATGAAAAGTAATTAATGTTTCTTAAATAAGTGAATTTTTGCATCTTCATTTTATTTTGTCTGTTGAAGATTTTTTTTCTTTATTATGTTCTCTCATGAGTGGTTGGTTTTATGTATTTTGGATGGTACGTGTTTATTGTATAAAGCTTGTTAATTTTAATTTATTATCATCAGAAATGTTTAATAATTAATTTTATTTCCAGTTTAATGAGTCATTTTAATTATTTCATAAACATTATTATTGTAATAAGCATTTTGTAGATTTTATAGGATCTAGAATAGATTAATGCCTCGTAGTTTAGGATAGAAAAAATGTATGTGTTTTAAAACGTTCTATTTAGTCTGATTCTTATCAGTGTGATTGATCCTTCTTTATTAGATTTGAGACCTGTTTTAATTATTAGACCTTGTGATACCACAAATCTCTTTGGTAGTGGGGGCTCAGTGGAGGGGATATAGTCATGCCCTTCTAGCTGGCATGTTAGTCTTTGCTCTTCAGCCTACCATTGTGGTCTTTTGTTCTATGCTTTAGCTAATCACTCCAGTGCCTTAAAGTTAAAGTACTTACATCGTCAAAAATTTGTCGATCAATATTTTGTTGTAATACTTCAAGATTCACTTACTCTAGATGCTGTCAAATGTACCCAAGCGTTGACATGAAGAGCGGTTACCCTTGCACCTGGAGTCAACAAATTATAGTAAATTCGCAAAAACTTGTAAAGAGAAGGTGAACTTTTTAGTTTGGAAGTTTTAACTTAAGTGACTGAACGTTTATTAAAAGATCCCACCGTAGGAAGTTTTGATATACATTGACTTTTTTTAGAAGTTTGTGACTTTTTTCTGTTTTAAGTTTTTATATATAATTTTTGTGATAATACATGACAATGTATGGATTACAAGTTGCCTATCTTCCTCAGCAAATCTATTACCAACGTATGTATGATTTCCTTAAATTAGTTTGTTAGCTTTTTAAACTTTGCAAAATATATATTTTGTTCATCTATAATTTGTATGAATAATGTAATACTCATTATTTTTGTGTACATTAAAAGCCAATATCAGATTGTGTTAATTCACTTCATTTTGTTGTTTTTAAATATCTAAAATCTTATCATTTGAATATTTTCCCACCATATGTGCAAAAGAATCTTTTAATTATTTTATTAAATAAATCATTGTAATGAAATATTTCTCTATTAAGCAATTTCTCCTAGTTTAATGTACTTTTAACAACTATATACCTTAATTTGTATTTTCTTGAAGTAATATTAATTCCAGAAGTTTTCATGTATCTCTGACCATCTTCATTCATGTTTAATGACAGTTAACAATTTCTTAACAATCCATTTTGCAATGCTAACTGATCATTTGATCAAATAAAATAGTTTTGATAAATTTCAATTAAAATAACGATTTATTTGAAAAAAATCTCCTTTGTAATTGCATTCATTATACGTTAATATTTTATATTATTTTCAAGTACCCACTGAGGTTATTTTTTTAATTAATGATTTTTCAAAGTATTTTTGGATGAATGCATTTTGAAGTAGGCCTAGAATCCTTTCTTTTATTCCATATTTGTTGGTTGTCTTTTCATTCTATAATTAAAATAATAACTAGGAATATTACATTAATTAGAGTAGAAAATACCAAACTACAATCACTCACCACTGTGTATTGATTAGCATTTAAATTTATTTTTCTCATTTTATATTATTTTTATTTTTTTTTTGGTATTAATTTTTTTATGAGGTATAAATTCACAATAGCTCCTTGATGATGGCACATGAGACCTGTTTAAAAAAAAAAATGAAATAAAACTTTGCTATCATGTTTAAAAATAAAGTCAAATACAAAATAACTTTTATATGAAACAGCTTAAAATTGTTTAAAGAACATCATACATAGAGATTCTCTATTCTTACATGTTTTATGTTGTATTCTTAAACTTCTTTGACACTCTTATTTTTAATTTTTTCTTCCCAAAATAATTTATTTTTATAGTTTAACTACACATACATTTATATATTTTCTTCATAGTTGAGAACAAAACTTTTCTTACTATGAACTGGTTCATAAACATTTTCAATTTGAGAAACTACCTTCACTAAGTTTAGACACATGTCTGTTGTTATGTAACCAAAGATAATTTTTTTTTTTCGAAAACATTAATGTTGATGTTTAAAATATTTAAGAAAATTATATTCTTTTAATTAAATAATAAGAGAAGGAAAATAATAAAATTATATTTATGTTAAATGTGGTACAATGTAATAAATTAATTTTTTTGTAATGTTTCTTTCTCAATGTGCAATTATATGATATTGTTCTCTTTTATACATTAAAAATCCTAATTATAAATAAAAAAGGGAAGTAATATACTTTGAAATATAAGTAATCTTTATTTATAAAACCTGTTAAATTTTCAACCATTATTTTAATTTGGTTGTAAATGACAGAATTTATTAATAAAAAATTAACAATAATATTTCCACAAATTGTGTGGATGAACAGTTACATTAGCTCTTGTTCTGAAATGGAATCAGACAATATTTGCCCTGAGAATTATTTATTTAATTTGATAAGGTTGTTTCGTCACATATTTTGTGATGCACACATGATGAAAAAGTTAACAGTAACATTGTGTACTTTTTCTATAATGGCCTGAAATTATCAAGAGCAATAGCGTTTGTTTATCATTATTGGCTTGCTGATATTTCTATTAATATATGCTTTAGATAAATAAACGCACTTTGTTCTTATTTATGATATGAGATATGCCCACAGTCACTTTTATGTTTGCTATTTGTTCTTATTATCCTATTGGTTTTCTAAACATTTAGTATATTTTTACGCAGTATTTTTAAAAATTTTGCTTACAGTAATATTGACTCCTAATTGAGTAACTGCAGATCAAAATGTTGTCTGTTTTCCTTAGAGAGGAAATTATTTGTTTTGATGCTATGCTACTCATATTATTATTTTAAATAGACTTATTAGTTCCACCCACATAATGTCCTTGATTGTATGTAATTTTACATACACCAATAGACCTTTTAATATCTGAGTACCGAACAATCTGGGTAACATTAGGTTAAAACAAGCAATCTCAAGTTTTCCAAAAGTGGAAATCATTTGTTTTGTTTTGATCTACATCGCATCTACTCAAGAAGTAAATATAAAATTTTATTTAATATATATTTTTTATAGTATATAGGCTAATGTCTAGGTAGCTAGGGTGCTACTTTGTCATGAAGAGATCATTTTTCTTTTCTAGTATCATCTTTATTTATCATATTGTAGGATCATTCTTACTAAATATTGGCAGGTTGAGATAATTTTGATCACTGTAAGCCTTGATAATTTATTCCATAATTTATAGAATTTTTATTTTGTCTCAGCTACAATATTTAATACACTTGGTTGTAGTATATCATGGTATTTCATGATGATCATTTACAAAATCAAAACATATAATTTTGAATTGTTTGTTACATTGCTTAACCTTAGATCAGCAATCACTTAGCGTATTTTAATACAAAAATTACTCTATAAAATAAAATTTCTACTGATTCTATCAACTTATGAAATTATTTGTTAGTAATCAGGAGTTTCCAAAATATATATATAATGAGAGTCTATGAAGTCTATTAGATATATATATATATATAAGATATGCTAGTTACCATGTTTTAGACCAAGTTCCTCAGTTAGATTTCTCTGCATTCTCTTCCCCTCTACATAATTTTTGAAGGTCATAAAAGTTTAATCCATAATATTTTGTTCACTCTGAGTTTATAATTATGACAATGTTTTTATTATTTTCCCAAATTACATCGATATAAATAATTTTTAAGGAACAAAAATATTATTTATTCAATCTGTTGTTCTTCATAACTGTCACGTTACCTCATAATAAAGATAATCTTTCATAAATTCTTGGTTTTTAAGAGTATATCTAAAATTATTTTTCAGATTTTATTATGAAATGTTTTTATTTCAATCGATTTTCTGCTTTCTTTATTCTAGATTGGGAAATAGGAATTTATGTAGTTTTAAACAACTAATTTGAGTTATCCTTTATTTTATTTTTTCTGAAATAGTATTTAAATCCAGTTGAGGAGTGCATTAGGTGCTCTTCTGCCTCAGAAGTGGTAGTCTCTTGTCCTGCCATTTCCAATAGTGATCATTGCAAATTACAATCATAATTATATTTAAATAATTCAAATTATATCATTTAATAGATAATTGAAATATGAAAATAAATACTTTGTTAATATTAAGTAATTTTTGTTGAGTTTAAATGAAAAAAAAAAAGGTTGCAATTTCTTGGCTTTTCTATTATTATTATTATTATTTTTTTAAATAGTTGTCTGCATATCACTATTTGGAAAGATTGTATTATTTACAACATTTTTACAATTTAAAATTTAAAAAAGAAGGTTTTATATATATATATATATATATATATACGTAAAGTCTATGAGTTAAGTCCTAGTCTGCCTAGAATCTCTTTAAGTACTTAGAATTAACTTAAAGCTGATTTGATAATCAATAATTGCATATTTAGTTCATCAAGGATAACAAATTTTATTTACATTAATTTTATATAATATCAAATTCAAATTTGTATGAATAAGATAGATATTTAAATTATATGTCGCTTATTATCATTTGCTCAATACATTTGTAGAACCACAGTTTCATGGGTGGCCAGAGAATAATAGTGGTGGCTTTGACAACTACAACACATCTAGTAGTGGCTGGATAGAGGAAGCTAAAACCTCTCAGCTGCTTCAAGAGTTCGAAGATGTTTTGAGCCGCCAACTGACACCACCTGATAGCCCCCAGATATCACCTCCACATCAGCCTCCAGTTTATTATCCACCCTCCATTCTTCACCTCCAACCAACACCTCTGCAGGAGCAGCCTTCACCGCAGCCGTCTCCATCCCATCATCATGCTTATCAGGTTTTTAGAATATATAAAACATACTTAACATGTTTAATTTATTTTTTATTTTTTGTTATATAATTATTTCAAAAATTTATTTACAGGCTGTCAACAGTAATGAAACTGTTGGTGATTTAGATGAAATTGTTGCTGAAAATTTTTGTAATGGTGACTGTACTTCGTCTTCGGACTCGGGCTATGAAGATCCTGATTGGGCTCCTATTTCTTCAAAATCGAGGACTCGCCCATATCCTTCAGTTGAGGAAAGGAAAGCTCGTAAAAAGGAACAGAACAAAAATGCAGCAACTCGCTATAGACAGAAGAAAAAACAAGAAATAGAGGTTATCTTGTCAGAGGAGAGAGAACTCCAAGAGAAAAACGAGTCTCTGAAAGCTGAGGTGGAGGAAGTCCAACGGGAGATAAAATATCTTAAGTCATTAATGAGGCATATGTTCAAGGCTAAGGGACTCATTTCATAATTAGGCATAGTTCAATACCTTTAGAAAGTTCAATTTAACATGTTTTTAATTTTTTCAGTCATGGAAATTTTATGAATTTCCTTTTAAATTATTACTTCTTCATGAAAAAATTATTAAATTTCATAACATTCAGATTCCTGAATTGTTAATTTAGTTTTGTTAAAACATACTTCTTCAAATTTACCTCACTTAATTTATTTTCTTCTGTGAAGATTTGCCATCAATTTTATTTTTCTTGTTTATTACTAAAGATGTAAAGTAAACAAATCCCATTTTGTTTTGTTTTTATTTGCTTTTCGGTACTGTACTTCATAGTTAAAGTGGGTCTGTGCGATGTGTAATAGTTTTTATAAAGCCGTTGAAAAAAAATCACAGTTTTTTAGATTAGGTAGTAGAACTGTGTCTGAAGTTCCCATTATTATCAAACATTGGTATTATTCAAATCCATGCAGGGATGGTTCAACAGTATTGAACCTTTGGTTCTTCCTCTTGGAACAGGAAGAGCTTTGAAGTGGTGCTATTCTCAAGAAGTAGCTAATGTGAGCCTTGAGGAAGCCACTTCCATTTGTTTTCTTTGATCAGGTTTAGTAGGGACTGGTTATGAGATCTCCTCATTAAGTATGGGTGCCGCTGCTCAAAGATATAATTCAATATTTTATTATTCCCTGCCTAGGGCATTCGACTTCCATGTACTGTACATACCTGAAGTATAATACATGGACCCATCTTTTGTAATAGACAGTATCACTCCCTTAGCCTTTGGTAGTAAATTTCTAATTTTGAAGGTTGATTCTTATTTTTATCATTTCTCAAAACAAGAAAATGTTGACTATTTTCTATTCTGTTGTATCACCATAGTTTTAGTTAATTTTTGGTTGGTAGCCTTCTAAAATTGAGTTCGAAAACCTATGAAATCTTATTCTTTTGTAAGATAGATGATTATTTCGTAACTCGTGATTTTTTAGGAGCCTTCCAACTTGAAATACGACCTATCGTTGACTCACTGCTGTATATATCTATATAAATATATTTGGGTGCTAAGAACTAATTACTTAGTTAATGAAAACTATTTTTGATGTTAAGGGTACATGATAATTTTAATTATACTTTAAATCACTATGCACTTAATTTTTTTTATTTTTAATTGTTTCAGTGCTCTGTTATCTATTATTGTTTTTGTGTGTATTAGTTAACTAATTAATAAAATCTTTTAACTACTTTGTTAATTTTTATCCTTAGCTTCCTTATTGATATTTTTTGATGCAATAAATGAGTTTGAGATTTGAGGACAGTTCTAAAATAATTGATAAAAAAATTACTTTTTTAAAATTAATATTATATCTGAACAATTTGTATCAAAATTGACGCTTTGTCAAATTGTTTTATTTTTAAGACTTATCAAAGTATTACATAAATTGAGTAAATCAAAACTTTTTTCTGGGTTGACCTATATTATGACCATAAATAATTTAATAATAAACCATCAACTTATAAAATTTCAAAGTTCATTAATCTTGCAAAAGACCTAGCTATCAACCTAAATCAAATGGACATAACATATATTTTTTGTATTCTCAAAAAAAAAAAAAAAAAAAGAGTTAAATTATTTGTATTGATGAAGTTACAAATATATTTTATTTTTACTTCTGAATGTAAAGCAGGGATAACCTCCCCTTGTGCTTGAGAGAATAACCTCCCCTTGAGCTGCTTTTACAGAAATAAGGATATCATGAATAACCTTGGGAATTAGAGGAGATAAACAGGTCCATGTTGCTGGGCTGGCACCTATGGCATTTCGAGTTGAAACCTATGCCAATATTTAGTACCTAATTTGTACCTCAAAAATTAGAATTTGTACCCCTCAGGAACCGGAGATACAACGCTCGTAAAAGTGCTGGGCCAGGGACATGGTGGCCCGGCACATATGGAATTCCGAGTTGAAACCTATGCCAATATTTAGTACCTAATTTGTACCTCAAAAATTAGATTTTGTACCCCTCAGGAACCGGAGATATAACGCTCGTAAAAGTGCCGGGCCAGCGACATGGTCAAATGACATCGATTTTCGAGTTGAAACTTATGCCAATATTTAGTGCCTAATTTGTACACCAAAAAAGCTCGAAAGAGTGCCGGGACCGGAAGTAACATCTCCTTGGCCGACACAAATGGATTTTCGAGTTGAAACTTATGCCAATATTTAGTACATAATTTGTACACCAAAAATTAGAATTTGTACCCCTCAGGAACCGGAGATATAAAGCTCGAAAGTGGCGGTACCGGAAGTTCCATCTCCCTGCCCGACACCAATGGATTTTCGAGTTGAAACCTATGCCAAATTACTACCTCAAAAATTAGAATTTGTACCCCTCAGGAACCGGAGATATAACGCTCGTTAACTGCCGGGCCAGGGACATGGTGGCCCGGCACCTATGGAATTTCGAGTTGAAACCTATGCCAATATTTAGTACCTAATTTGTACTAATTGTGGACCTGAGATAAACCTAGATTTAACCTCCATGCCTGGTTGCAACTTAGAGGTAGAGAAAGAAGTAGAAGAAAAATTTAAAATGAAGTTAGTTACTTGTTTCATATTTTAGAACATTTCATTTGAAATACTATACAGTTTGGCTTGTTATGTAAAGGTATTATTCTATTGATAGCTCTAGAAGATGTTTTTGCTTTTCCTCAAGATTAGATGCTTAATATGGACAGCTCATCTCTGGTTGGGACCAATACAGAAAACTGGAATCTTTATATCTTAATGTTAATCTTAGTCTGGAATCTTTGTTCTAATCATTATAATCAAGAACATATTTTTCTTCATTGGGGAGGCTGAAAAAAGATTAAGCTTTTGAGGTCTCTGATCTCAAGTAACATAAAAGATCCAAAGGGTGGACCCAATACTATCCTCACCAAATTGTGTCATGGGACAACTTCGATTGTTAAGGGCACCAAAAGTAATCGGTATTACAAAATTCCTCAGAAACAAGTACTAAAAGAAGAAATTTTATGCCAAAAGTAAGCAGATTCTTGTGCATCATATCTAATTAAAATGATTATTGAAGTTCGTTAAAGAATACACGAAAATAGGTAGCCAAATGATTGCTCTACAAAATGTTATATGCGACATTACTGAAGAAGCAGAAGGACATAGCAACAGTTATACATAAGTCATGGTTACATACATTCATTAATCCAAACCTTGATAGACAGGTAAGATAGTAGCCATAGGATTGATAACTATTTTACCAAAAATATCTAATCACGAAACTAAAGCCAAAGAGAAAATCTGCCCTTAATGAAGTACCGATGCTGGATGTATATAACTAAACTGGATCCTGGAATATTCGGACGTTATACATATCACGGATAGACCAATTGTCATTTGTAACTATGGTTACATGTTTGAACGTGATAAAGACAATTTTAAAAAAGAAAAGTAAAAATAAATAAGTATATTTTTTTTACTACTACACAACTATATATACTTATTATTAACACACACGCACGCACGCACGCACACACACACATATATAAATATATATATATAGAGAGAGAGCAACGCCGAGCGTGGTAAGCACATGATTAGGTGACCGCCCACACCAAGGAAAACCACGCTGGCCGAGATTCCTTCCTCCCCCCGTATGTGAGATCCATCAACCTACTGGAGGCAATTCACACCGACCGGGCGTAGGATTTATGACCCTACCCCGTATACTTTAAATCGGGAATCTTCATGGTCTGTAAAAATATATATATATATAGTAAATTATTAAGTATATATATATACTTATACTTATACTTATTTGTTTTTACTTTTCTTTTTTGACTGATCATCCCAACGATTCTTCTCTTCAATTATTCACTACAGTCAACCATCAATCCACAATGGCAATTTTCAGTGTTCTATTTTCAAAAAAAGTATAGGTCACAGAAAAAATAATTTAAAAAATGAAGGTGTGTTCTTTTCCTAAAGGTTAAGGCTTAAATCATTTTGAGATTAAAATAACTTTTCAACTAGAAATTTTTTAATTTTGATGAAAATGTGCTATGAATCATACATCCATGCTTCTTGACAAAAGTAAATCTTTTTTCAGTTAGGATTTTTCAATGAATTCCCAATATGTTTATGCAGATTCTATTTCAATTATTTGGAAATGAACTGCATAAAACAAACAAAATGCAGAATAAATATGGGTCAGCGGACTGCTGGTACTGGTACTGATAAGGTTGCCACCCCGTCCTTATAAGAGTGGGTTTGTCAAGATTCATTTCTCGGGTTCACCGAAAAAACAAAATTAACCGATGCAGGTGGGAATCAAACTCACAACGTTCAGAACCGGACACTGGAAACCACGCCCCAACGTGCTCCGCCATCACGTCCTCTAATTAACCATATCGGACTAAGTTTACATTAAAAATAAAATTTTAATTTATTTTTTGGGGAGACGAAGTCGGGACTACGGAGTTCACTTTGATGGCGACGAGCTCCTTACCCTGTTCTTCGCAGATGATCAGGTAGTGATTGCCTGGAAGAAAGTTTTTCTGGAGATGGTCGTTATCCAGTTAAAAGAAGTTTATGAAGAGGTAGGTCTCAGGATCAACTTCCAAAAGACTGAGTATATGGCTCTAGGAGATGAGGAAGACGATAACATAAGTGATCAGGTGTGCAGAAAAGTAAAGGCTTTTAAATTATTAGGCTTCTATCTGGACGATGTGGGAGAGTCCGAAGTGGATGTCCTAAACAAGATAGAGATGGAAAGGAAAGCAACTAGAATATCTACCCTGTTCAAACGTGAACAAGCGGCGTATCTTCACAGCTATTGTCGAGTCCATATTAACCTACGCATGTGATGTATGGTTGATGAATGCTAGGTTGTTTGCCAAAGTTCGGATTGTAGAGACGGATTTTTAGAGAAGGTGCCTCCTGTCAGCGAGGCTGGACAGAGTCCGAAATGAAGTGGAGAGGAAGAGATTGGGATGACTATCGGATCGGAAAACGGCGGTTAAGGTGGTATGGGCACTGAAGGAGAATGCCGAAGAGCATTGGCCGAATAGATTCCTGGACTGGCAACACCCGGAAAGTGTAGGCAAGGATGACCCAGAACCACGTGGAAGGAGTCCGAGAGGAGATGGCCAGCAAGGAGTCCGAGAGGAGATGGCCTTAATAACTTTCTTTTACCTTTATTCTTTTTCATTTCAAATTTAAGATGATTATTTGATCTTCCTCCTTAATAGTGGGATAATTCCTCCGTTCTCTTCTTTAGTCATTTTTTGTTTCACAGCTCATCTGCCGTTAATCTCTTAATCTATAAACAACCGATTATTTATAGTAGAACCCTGCTTCAGACAAAAA